CCGCACGACATGGGCCGACACCTCGATTTACCCTCTCGGTCCTCGTACACGACGGTACGCTCCTCTAAATAGTCTGCCACTAGCCGCCTCAGGTACTTTGGAACCCCATGATAGTGGAGTGCTTCCCTGATGCAGCTGAATGGCAGACTATTGAATGCGTTGCCGATGTCCAATGACACCGCCAACAGCACGCCGCCACAGCTCACGGCCTCTTCGGTCACGGCCCTCAGGCGCAACACAGCGTCGACTGTCGAACGCCCCGCCCGAAATTGGGCGTCCGACATATCGGGGCCCACCTCATAGAGGTGCCGGACGATGCGGGCAGAGAGAACCCTCTCAAACAATTTACCCGCCTCGTCTAGCAGCACGATGGGCCTGTAGGCCGCGACCGAATCGGCAAGCCGTCCCGGCTTGCTTAATAGGACCAGCTTCCTGCTCTTCCAGCACTCAGGGAAACGTCCCTGAAATTTTTTCTAAGGAGAGGCCTATGTCCAGCAGTGGACTATTCAAGACTGTTGATGATGATGATGAGACGAAGTCACCGCGAAGCGCAAGAACATGCACTGTGCGAATTAGGATCTGTTGTTATTATTTAGTGCGAATATTTTCTAGATGGAATTCAATACAATTTAAATATATATTTTTTTTATCTCCACAAATTATACAAGTGTTAATATCTAAGTTGACGAATGTTTCGCTTAATTGTGAACTTACTGGAGATTTGGAGTCTAAACTAAGAATTGGCCTGTATTTTAGAGCTCCAGGCCTCCCAGTATTGAAGTTACAGTACTGTTGTCAACGCTGTGTTTAATGAATATTTATGTATGCACGCGTGTGTATGTGTGCGTTTGAGTGTGTGAGTCTGTCTTAATAATAATAAATATTATTTGTTTTATAAAGCTTTTTGTTAGGCACGATTAGTTATATTGTTGGTTGATTCTTACATCTAGACATAAAAAATATATTTTTGTCTTGTCAATTTTTCCTTCTCAGGTTGTAATTACCCTAATGTACCCCTGAACTATGGACTTTTCTGATACACAGTGGAGACAAAAAGGTTATTCATATTAACCTTTTCCTTATTTATTTTAATTGAACTTATTATAATATGTAAGCTGTAGGTGTGTGCATGGAATTTCATAATTCTTAATAATGATAAGTGTCTGTATATTGACAAATTGGTAACTAGGTATCAAGACATTGCCGATAACATAGGCATAGTAATGATTTTGCCTGTGGCTTCACACGCATTAATACAGATTTTTTTTCTTAATCAGTTCAGGGACCATTACTCTTACTGAATAATAATAACTTCATACTAGGCTAAGCCTGTTCTATGGTGACTAGACTGCTGATAAACAAACCTATATATTTCTAAATACATACCTATATATATTTTTTTCAACATGTACAGAAACATACAACAGATTATTTAACACAAATAATAGCATATGTATGTTAAACACTTAGACTTTTAATTCCGTGTGGTGACGGATTAATAATACAGAGTGTCATCACCCTTATTCATCACGTGGGTGTCATAAGAGGCGACTAAGGGAGCGAACTACGCAGGACAACAGCACTGCAGAGAGAAGGAAAACTTGAACTTGAGACACAAAGCGAATGATCAAGCTCATCACACAATTATTTGTCCTGCATGGATGGTGTTTGAAGCGGTCGCCACGCCGCTCACTACAACGCTGAGTGCCGTGGGTTCCATCCCCATATGGGACGACACTTTGTGAGATCCACAAATTGTTGTTCTGAGTCTGGGTGTTCTTTGTGTCCGTTTCATGTATGTTTGTAAAGTCCCCCGCGACACAGGATATATTTGTAATGCGGGAGTTGTCTTTTTAAAGAAAAAAAAACTATTCACCTATCTCCAGCGTAGCAGTCAGGGTCACTAAACACTAGACCAATACTCCGATCGTGAATGAAAAACGTTTACAATTCAACCATAGACAAAGTGTATGTATAAGTCCATGGTGGCTTGTTGATTTGATAAGAAGTCAAGGCATGAAAGAAAATCGATTTAATCCTTAACATGAGATTGATTTAATTTTTATTGATTATTTTCAATGTATTTTCGATTATGTACACAAGAAACAATGGATATAAAATTCTGGAAAATACATGTCTTGAGTGCGGAGTTTTCTGTTCAATTCATCCATCTTTTCTTTGGTCGTCCTCTGCTCTTACACCCGTCAACATCCATACATGGTTTTTATAGTATAAGGGGGATAACGAGCAGACGGCTCACCTAATGGTAAGCAACTACCGCCGTCGCTGGACACCTGCAACTCAAAAGTCACAAGTGCGTTGCTGCCCTTGGAGTCCCTCCCGCTCGAGTCAGCGGGAGGAGGGATTTGGGCTCCGGTAACCTTACTCACTCAGTGAAAGGCAACCAAAGAATTACTTAACACCGGTTTTCAGTGAGGCCGTGGTATCACTCAGGTCGTGCCGAAGCATGGCTCTCCCACGGTACCAGGATAACGTTTAGCTTCACTCATCCATCTTAATATGCGCATTTCGCCACAGACAGACTTTTTATTTTCATAAAAAATGTACATTTACTTAAACACACTTACCTACTTAGATGTGGTAAAATGTAAGTTAAACAAAGAAAAGTCGATCAAGGTGACCCTTTTATCTACTTGAGTTATCACAAAGAGCAACATTGACGCGAGGGTATATTGGGCTAAAAGTGACTAAATTTATTTTAAAAAATTGTAACTTAAATCACTGGTGAAGGGAATTGGGTAGGCTTCGTACAAGGTGGTTTGACCACCTGGTGGAAGCGCGCAGCACAGGACCGGTTGTTATGGCGAACCTTGGGGAAAGCCTTTTTGGCTAAGATTATGATGGTTATTATGAAAGGAAATCACACTTTTAACGAACGCTTAATAATAATGATAAAAAAACGTCTCGGGACGGCTGACAGAAGTAATAACTTAAACGAATCTATTTATAATCACTTTCAAAAACGGTGATAGCTTTAGGTTATATGCTCACTGTCAACAGTATATGTCTATCGCACACTAAACACTGAGTATAGAGAGGGGGAAGCGTCTGTCCGAAATAAGGCTAGCGCTGTGGGAGTGTGAGAGAAAAAGAAGCCAGACAGACTGGTGCCATAACGCGTTACGTAACGAAGCGGTTTACCCTCTCATAAGAAGTTATCACTTCAAAACATCATGCAATTAACTGAAAATCCCGTTATAAACTACCTCTTGCCTTTTGTGTATGTATGTATTTAAGAGCATATGATAACGAATGTGATGTATCAGCTCGAGACCAAAAAATCACCCTCAATTTTGACTGGCTGCCCAGAGGTCGTTGATTTGATTTCCGTTCAGGACAAATAATTGTGTGATGAGCATGTTCATATTGTTTTGTGTCTAGATGTAATTTATCTTTAATATGTGTGTATTTAGAAATATATCTCTCTGCCTAGTTTGGAAGCAGACATGAAATAGAAATATTTATTTGTCAATGTAGGTAAAATTTATATTAGATGTTACATATGTTTTTAAAAAGATCGCTTCATTGTACTCATAGGCAAACAAATTTTAATTATTGTTAAATCCTAATTTAATAAAAAATTAACAATAACATATATTATTAGACCTAAAATGTGTGGCATGAAATGTGTCATGTTAATATATCATTATTTCTTAGTTTAATTATAAATTAAACTATGCCATAGCTCCTTTGACATAAAAAATATCGATACGAATTAAATTTCCATGACTGGTCTTCATATTTATTAACATTGGATGTTATTTTGTATTTTGGCAATAGACCCAAACTAGAACCAGGAGGCCATGCTTCGGCACAAATACCATGTGAGTGATGCAATGGCTTCACAGAAAACCAGGGTTAAGCAGATCTTTGGGTCTTAAGCCTGGGGACTGAACCCCATACCATCGAAACTCTTACATCATCCTCCTTCCATCACTGATTTGACAAAATGCTTTTTATTTTTATTCCCTGAAATAAAAACATTAACTTATCTTGAGGTTATCACCACTGCTGGATGAAGTTGAAAAAAATAATTTTAAAAATCTGTTTAGTCACGTACTTTTTTTCCTATCTTTTTTTTAAATTAGTAAAAAATATTTTCTGATGAACATTTATATACATAAGTTTCGCAACATTTATTGAATGTATCATGTACGTGAAAAGTTTTAAAATATTGAAGCTTCAAACCAATCTCTCCTAATAAATCAAATAACAAGAGTAGTGTTCATATTTTATTAGAATTTAACTTATTTAATTTTCATAAACCTTTAGCGGTCCTTGAAAAGTAATTTGGGAGAAGGCAATAATTTTATCATTATATCATCATAGCACAAGTAAATTAAATGGAACAGTTAATACAATTTATTGACTCATGTGAGTTGAGTAATTTGTTGGGTGGTTAAAGACTAAAGTATTTTCTTTTAATTATTGTAAATATTTATGATTTAATTATAATATAATATAATATACCTAACACATCTCACACAAGGCCGTCTGGTCACAAACTAGCCAAGCCCTGTGCTATGGTAACCAGACTGCTGATAAACATACTTATATATCGTTTAAATACATACATATTATAGATAAATTACACCCAAACACAGAACAAATGATCGTGCTCATCACACAATATTTGTCCTGGGTGGGAATCGAACCCACGACCTCCGGCTTAGCAGTCAGGGTCACTAACCATTAGACCAATAGGTCCGTCAATTTAATATCATGCCTAAAATTGTGTCCGACTATAAGTGTGTTAGTTCTTTAATTATATTTTAGTAAGTTTATTTTAAATTTCAGAAACTTGTATTTAATATGAGTCTGAGATAGAGTTGGTATGGTTGAAGATATAAACTATAGATGTTCTTTAAAAAATGTGTGCCTTTATCCCAATTCTACTCAATTGATCTTTGATCTATAAAAAATAAGTATTAAACAATTATAGCTGTTTCATTTTGTCACAATTTAGGAAGCCAAATAAAATGAAGACTTACATTGTGATTTTTATTTTATTTACTGTTGTTTACAATTGTCTGGCCTCAGACGTGTATAAAAATGAAACAGATCTAAGCGGAAATGATGATAAAGTTATAGTTTTAACACCAAACTTTGATAATAAAAAACCATTAAATGAATCTTTAGATGAAAATAAAGAAAATGTTAACAGTGACAATACGGAAACCACGACAGAGCCAATATTATGTAAAATATGTTCTCCAACAGTCAACCTTAAAGGTGATGAGTGCCCTAAAGGATATTCCAGAGCAGACGATGGTACTTGCCAATTAGAAGTATAAAAATAACAGAAGAAGAAAAATAGCTGTAGTGATAAAGCTAAGTGAATGTGTAATTTTTTTATTAAAAATAATTCTATACTATATGTGTATTATGTTATTTATTGAGAGCAGGCCAAATCAAAGATATACCAAGTATATTAATTATAGACAAAGGCCAGAGTTTACAAAAGGAGTATCGAGATACCAATTACCAAAGTTCGTGATTTCATCAAAATTACGCATCGATTAAATAGTAACCTCGTCATATTAAAACTCCATATCATTTGTTTTTTTTTCTCAACTCCATCTCTAATTTAGTCTTTTAGGCCTTATTATGTTGCAAGAATTGTAATGTTAGTTAATAATTTTCTACATACTGTAAAACTGCAAAATAAAATAATAACAACAACGATATACTGGTATTTTATTGTGTAATTTGTGTTATTTGGTTAAATTAATTTTATATAAAACTAAAGATGCTGTTCAAAACTGTGTGCGGTTATCCCAATTCTACTCAATAGATCTTTTATCAATATCTAATATTAGTTGGTCAATTTCGTCACATTTCAGGCAGCAAAATCTAAACATGAAGACAAATATTGTGATTTTTATTTTATTTACTGTTGGTAACAATTATCGGGCTTCTGACGAGCATAAAAAGGAAGAGAATCTTATCGAATATACAGTTTCAACACCAAACTGTGAAACTATAACTTTGACCGAAAATAATAAAAATGCTAATAGTGCCAAAGCGGAAACTGAGGCGAAAGCGACTGTCCTACAACTGCCATTTTCAAAGGTCATGCGTGTCCTGGGGGATATTCCAGAGGCGATGATAACACTTGTTTATTAAAAGAGTGAATACAACAGAAAAGTAAGGACAATAAAAGATCAGGTTATACCAACAAAAAAATGACTAATTCAAAATCAAAGCACTGTTTTTCTAACTTTCCATTTCACGAAGCAACCTATAAAATTGTGACCACATCAGTAATCTATTAATTAATATTCAAAGAAAACATTTATCCCACCAATAACATTTTCATTGTAAAATATTGCCAAGACGAGACCAAATGGCTCGAACTGTCAAAAAGTTTATTTATTTAAAACATTTACAGTATCTTTACAGGATCCTTATCCCAAAACGATACTGTAAGTAAAAAAGTTATCAGACATCATGTAGACCCAAGCTTCTAACTCTACACGCCCTAACTCTAAATTCCCTAACTCCACAAACTCTAAACCTTAATCAAAATATGTGTTACTACAAGAACTACTGTATAACAGAAACGTAATGAAAAGTAGCTAAGGTAATAATAGACCTTTTAAATCTGGACATACGTTTGGTTTTCCAATAGCATTAAATAAGGAACATAGTGTACAATTAACAGATTAAAACTCTCGGATAACTTTGGTAAAGATAGAAAGAAACACTCCTGAGTTGCAGACGTTCATAGGCTTCGATGGTCACTTTCCATCAGGTGATCCGTCTGTTCGTCTGCCCCCTCTGAAATAAAAACAACATTACAAATAAGTTGAGAAATAAATCAGCCAAATGTTTTTGGGCAGGTGGTGATATCAAATTTTATAAAGATATATTTACTACTACAGAAAGAACGAAAACTTGACACAAGCCCTATACCGACCTGTCTTGCCAGCGTGGTATAGTAGGCCAAAAACTCCTTTCTAAGGAGAGGCCTATGTCCAGCAGTGGACTATTAAAGGCTGTTGATGATAATGTGATGTGTTATTTACTTCTACAACACCGAAAAATGGTATAATTTTAGACATTGATTCGCTAAAAACAGGCAATATTACTGAACAAATAGTACCGAAAATAGAAAGTAAAACTGTCTTAGGAGATGAATGTCCCTCTAGACCAAGTAGAGATGATGATAGAAAATAATTAGAGGAAGAATAAATTAATAACACAACTGATTCAAATTCTAAGGTTTTAATGACAGACGTTTCATTCAAGATTATATTTAAAAAGTTTGTTGTGTGCATGCCTTTATTAATGTATAAATCAGTTTCAGATAGTCATTGTTGTCCACATCTACTCACATAGCATTTAACCTTATAAAGATAAGTAAGAGACGCCTATCCTGCATTATTATTAACATTAGTAAGCGAAACAGACGTATCCCGCAACATGAAAATCTTTGTAGTTTTGTTAGTTTTATGTGTGGCGGAAATCCATTGTGGACTTGTGAATAATCTTATTGAAAATAAAGATAACAAGAAACCAGACTTAATAAATAAAATAGTACAAAATCTTGAAAATGGCACTACTATAATTGAGGATGCTTTCGGTTCAAGACACAAAGCCAATCAAACTACAGCTGAAGATAAAAAATTAAAAGATGGCCTACCATTGGTTATCGATGACGTTTGTGTAATCGAGGATGATCCCAAAAGATGTGTATAAATGTGATGTCTGAACACCGACTCACGAAGAAACGGCATTTTAATATTTTTACTTTATTGACTAAGTAAAATTTAGCAATGTTAGAAATAAAAAGGCATTTGCAATATTTATGTTTTTCAATTATTTGTAATAAAAAACAAACAAATTACAGGTAAATTTGAAATGTCATGAGTGGAAATAATAAGTCGTGATGCTGTTTGTTGTGATCCATTTATTATATCATCACACACATCATCACATCGAGTACACTACATAAATAAGAAAAACTATATTCCCTCAGGCACAAATGCGAATTTCAAAATCCCGATTTTCATAATTCCGAATGGTTTAAAATTCCTTATATAACAACTCCAATTTTTTTACTTGAATGACTTGAATTTGACTGCACGAATGGCGTAGTAGTAGGTTTAAGCCTACTTTTTTTACGACACCACTACTAGCTACAAGCCCCGGTGGGGCACCGCCCGAGGGGGTCACACGTAAGAAAAAAAGGTTAGGTTAGAACAGTGGCAATTAACGCCAGATTCTCTCTATCGAGGTGACCGATTAAACCACCGGTGCAGACTAAAATGATTTTATGCTTATTTTATAAAAAATTATCAACAACAGCATTATCTAAATTGACCGGCCTGTTAGTCTAGTGTATAGTGGTTAGTAACCCTAACTGTTAAGCCAGATGTCGTGGGTTCGATTCCCACCCATAACAAATAATTGTGTGACATAAAAACACCCAGACCAAATCAAACATTAAATGTTCATGCACACAAATGTTTGACTTGATCGGAAATCAAACCCACGACCTTTTGGAATAGCAGTCCGCTACACAAACCACTACGCCATCCGGTTATCAATCATCAATGCAACAATTACTTAAAGGCAAACACAGAATGTATAATTGCAAAATAAATATAACACCAAAAAAGTGTAAAAATTGTATAAATGGCAAAAATGTACAAAAGAGAATAAAAACGAGCAAGCCTAAATCAAAATTACTTAAATATTGTAATAAAATTAAACACGATCTGGGAAATAATTTAAAATAGGTGTATCCTTATTTGATGAATCAATGTAGGTATCAGCTATGTCACGGCTATCATGGTATAACTAAAGGTCTTCTGCATACAATAGAAAACAAGAAAACTTAAAACAATCCGAAATGCCATTACTGAATATCACAAACTATAAGGGTCCGACTGTTGAACCTTGCGGAACGCCTGATGTTACACGTATGTTTTAGATGAAAAACCATTAATTACTACTGTGTTCGATTAGTAAGAAAAGAGCGTAACCAGCGTAGCAGATCATCACGTATCAGTATACGACAAAATATCGAAATTCTCTTAAAAAGCCTTGCTTATAACGGTTTTATATATAGCATAAACAAGGCCTTTTAAGATAATTTCAGGATCCACTTCGTCAAAAGCCTTCTGAAAATCAGTATAAACAGTATATCTATGCTCTCAAAGAGAGTTAGTAAACCATAATAAATTGGTAACAGTAGATAGTTTTCTAACAAATCGATGCTGCTGTTTAATTAAAAGGCTGTGGAACGTGGCATAGATTGAGTTATGAACTAGTCTTTCAAATATCTTGAACAATATAATATTCATAGGTAATTTTCAATGTTGGACATGAAGCCTGATTTATATACGGCCGTAATGTTTGCCCTCTTCCAATTTCCGGTAGTTTGCCTTCTCACATACACCGATTATATATATTATTAAAGGGTGAGCGGACTACTAATGGTACAGTACTAATGGATGGATTGCACAGTATGCTTTAAGAAAAAAAAGTGGTACACCATCAGGACCTGCTCCTTTCGTTAGATCTAGTTTTTCAAGTGCTGTAAGTACCTCTTGTGGTGAAAACTGAAGACCAGAAAAAAGATTATTACAATTGATATCGTCTACGTAAGCTACTTCATTCAATTGTTAACACTACTATATACTGTAAAAATAACTCACAAATCTCTTCAGAGTTAGAACACTCCATTTTGAAAGAAAATAATTCAGATTCGGATCTATTCATCTGTCAGTCTGAATCAGTGGTCGATTAAACCAAACTAGAAATGTATTAGATAAGGTTTAATCGACCACTGATTCAGACTTTTGAAGATAAGAAAAAGGCATGGATCAAATATAAGAAATCTGGCAATAGATCCGAATCCGAATTATTTTCAAAAAGTATTCTTAGACAAAGGTCATCATTGTCACGAGGTGGCACTTTTAAGTGGCAGCGCGTGGCTTTTAATTCCCTCCGTGTACCTATTAATACCCCGCCATCACGTTGGTGGCAATTCTGTCACGGTCACATCAATAAACGACTAGCTGTCCTGGCGAATTCCATACCGCCATTTTTTTTTTCTTGAATATTTTCGACATGCCTGAAATACTTGTGGGTGGTGTACAGTCGCGGACTAAGGCAATGTTACACTTCCGGTAAATTCAAATCAGTTGAATTATCAATAATTCCATATATTGCCACGTTTGATGTATCCAAAGTAGTTAAACCGTCTTATTAAAATGTATCGGAAATGTTACACGTTACATACTTAATGACAAAAAGTGAGACAAAATCCTGCGTTTACAAAACGACCATGTAGTGAAATAAAATTACAATAAATTATTTTCTTCTTCGGAGGGAAAACAAATAGCGCTGATGGTTTTCTGACTCTTGAGCACGCAACGTGCAACTGCCCACGCGAAAAACACGGAAATTCCTGAACGTCAATCTGTCAATGTTTTGTTAATACTCGTATATTAAAGATCTATCAAAGTCTTCTGTCTTATTCACTGACTCATTTTTCATATTATAAGATTTAAAAAAACTCTTGGTAATTAATATTATTTAACGGGAATTAACGCGATCTCTTATTTAGGAATTACATACCTCTGGTTTGCCTGACGTTTCGACCAGGTTGCACCGGCCGTGGTCACAGGCTGACTCATATTATATGGCTGAATATTAATTATCATGGAACGCGAAAGTTTAAAAGTTAGTAAAAACTCTTGGTTTTTTTCTTTGCACAAACCGTGTCCTGACTTTATTGCCAGGAGAAGGTTTTGAATTCGAAATCAAAAAAAAATATAATTATCTAATTTGGTGCAGTCTTTCGGCAGTCACGCGCGTATATACATTACGGCGATTCATTTTTATTTATATAGATAAACTCTATCATCTCTCTCTATCAACTCTTTATCAGATTTGGCAAGCACATGGCACGTCTCTGTGCACTATTTCTTGATTAATTACTATAAGTACTCACTCACTTTAATAAATCACACCGCATTTGACCCTATAAAGATAAGTGAGAGCGACCAATCCTGCATTATTATTAACTGGAATCAACGGAACAGACGTATCCCGCAACATGAAAATCTTTCTAGTTTTGTTAGTTTTATGTGTGGCGGAAATGCATTGTGGACTTGTGGGTAATCTTATTGGAAGAAAAGATAACAACAGGCCAGGATTATTTACTAAAGTGGTACAAAGTCTTGAAAATGGCACTACTGTAATTGTGGACGCTTTAGGCAATATCATAGCGCCTAATTCAAGACATGAAGATGCAAATTTAAAAGATGGACTTCCGTTGTTTATCGATAATGTCTGTGTCATCGAGGATGATCCCAGAAAATGTGTATAAATGTGATGTCTAAGAACCGACTCACGACGACATTTTAATATTTTGTAATGTAGTGATGTTTGTAATAAAAGAGTATTTGCAATAAATTCATGTGTTTTTTTTGTATTGTCTATATATAGGGTTACTGGGTAAGTCGACCTAAATACTTTAAGGGGTTGTAGTTGTCATAGTTTCTGATAGATTTCACTATGAAATATCAAATCGCAAACAAAACTAATTTTAAGATAATGGACTCTTAAGAATTTTATAAAATTGCCTAAATTTTGCCCAATAGTATATTTTTTAAAACTTACTGTGTTCCGCCTTAGTGGGAATAAATGAGCAGATTTTGCATTTTAGGCAAAATTTCGGCAATTTTTGGCAGAAATGATGACAACTACAACCCCTTAAATTATTTAGGTCGACTTACCGTAAGGGATATCGTAACGAATACTGAAATAGTGTATTCAGACCAAGATTCTGAGTCGAAAATCATTGGAATTTTCTGCCGGAAAATTCATCATTTTTTTTATAATTTTCCATTTGTTTGGGTAAAAATGATACATACGATAATATAATACATACGCTAATTTTCAACTATTAGAGACAGATAATGCTCATATAGCACAGTCTTGAAGGTGGTTACGGATTGCGCACGTCTGATAGTAACCGGCAAGGCATTCCATAAACGTACAGCTTCTACGGAAAATGATTTTATGTAGAAATTGGTAGAATGCCTTGGTATTTCCAATCTCAGGCTTTCAGAGGACCTCAGACATTACATATGTGTGTTATGAAGGAACTTAAAGCATTCTTTGGGGTAAATAGGAGTTAATGGATTAAACAGTATATTATACAAAAGCGTAAGGATATGAGTATTCCGGCGAAGGCGGATCGGAAGCCACCTGAGCTTTTTACGGTAGTGGGAAACATGATCATATTTGCGAAGTCCAAATATGAATCATATACAAAAATTTTGGATATATGGCACATGGCACAAGCATTGCCTAGTATGGGAACAAACGGTGGTGTGTGAGATATGTCACCACGTTGATGAAAAACATTGAAATCGGAAACATAATTTTCATTATCGGTTATCATTATTTCACAACATCTCTTTATTTTTCATTCAATAATCAAAATTACAATAATTAATTTAAAATTAAATTCTTTTAAATAAAAAGTATTAATTTGAGCAACGTCCAACATACGAGGACGTCACCTCCTCCCGGGCCGTCTCCCCTGTGAAATGACTTCCTCACATCTGTCGCTACCAGCCATTGAGCATATGATTTACTTCCTGAAACAGCGGGATCCGAAAAGGACCTGCGTCAGTCATAAGGCTGTAACGTCTCCATGGCTACAAAGCCAGTGCGTAGAGCCTCCAGCTGGAACGACCAACGAGCAGTAATGGCTCGGCGAGCGGCTTCACGCCACTTGCGTACCTCTTCAGGTACTATGACTGCACGGATGGCGTAGTGGTTTAAGCGGTCGCCACGCCGCTTACTACTACGCTGGGTGCTGTGGGTCCGATCCCCACATGGGACGACACTTTGTGTGATCAACAGATTGTTGTTCTGAGTCTGGGTGTTCTTTGTGTCCGTTTCATGTATGTTGTTAAAGTCCCCCGATATGTTAATTGTGCGAGAGTATCTTTTAAAAAAAAATGTTTACTTTTTCAATTGGACTGAATAAAAAAATTCATAAGGAGGCCAAGATTTCTAGTCGATTGTTGACCCTTCTCAAAGTTGCACGTTGTAGTTACATTGTAATATAACGACTGTTATTTAACATAAATGCATAATGTTATCAATTTTGTATTAGAAATGCACGATCTTTGATCTTACTTTGTTAACACTAAAATTATTTATGCGAATGTCCTTTGACCATCTGTTATTCATTTAGATAACATCCTACAAAATAATTAGACACAATTCAGTTCTCCTATTATTATTATCCAATTTAATTGATGTTCTGATTTTATATTTTAAAATAAAAAGTGTAAAATCAGTACGGCTTAGTTGTTTAGTCAACTTTAGTAGTTTAAAATAATAAAGCACAATTGTTTTCTATTGTTTATGGTGCGGGGGGCAAACGAGTGGGTTGATCTTTAAAATGCAACCGAAGAATGCTAAAACTGGGTTATTGTAACGCCTGTGGTGTAATTACTCCGGTCAAAAATATGCCGCACCAAGGCTCACCCGCATAAGCTCAAATTACGGTAGTTCAGAACGTGAAGATTCTCCTCGAAAGCTCGTAGGTGAAAAATCTCTTTGGATCTCCGTCTCCTTGGGGAAACAGGAGCCTGGAGTATGTGGTGTTTTCACCAAAACCAGACGGCCAGCTTCAGGCGCTCTATCTAGGAAGGACCCGGACTACCACGTCTATCCAGGTCCCATCCCGGTGAAGCTGCGAGCTTCTCCCGCTTATCTTTCCAGTCGCGCTTTTTCTGCGACCAGGGCGCCATCCTAGTTGATAGGATCCCACCCCCCCAGCACTCTGCTCAAAATTCTATTTCTATTCATGCCATAGGGCCAAATGGGCAGACGGGTCACCCAAGGGTACGTGAATACCTCCGCCTAAGAACATCTGCAACTCAAGATTCATGCGTTTCCACCCTTTGAGTGTAGCCTCAGAATCAGTGGCAATTGTCTTTTTCTAATAGTCATAAAACTTTATTCATTAATTTTACTGTTGTTTAAAACAGTAGATCAGTAGTACAGTATCAAATACATGATCATAGTGCAATGATTATTTTCTTAGTAATTAATATTTCTTGCTATCATTCCTAGTTTGAAATAAAAATAAATCGTAAATAATAAATTCTTTATGGTAACAAAAGATGAATACAATTGAAGTGAAAACCTTGATTCCCAAACCAGCGTGACCTGTGTATTAGGAATCAGTTTCTTTCCGAAAAATCAATAACACAATAAATTGTTGCAATCATGTGGAACATACATTGAAACATACTTACATTATAACTGGTTTTTGTAATTTTTGCGTGTCTGTGTGTGTGTCATTAAGGCATGATTTACAAATGAAGCAAGTTTTTGAACAAAAAACTAAATTCTCATACGCGATAGGAGCAAGCACTGCAAAAAGAGAAGGCAAACTTGACACAAACCAGCGTGGTATAATAGGCCAAAAGCTCCTTCCTAAGGATAGGCCTATGTCGAGCAGTGAACTATTAAAAGCTATTGATGATGATGATAGAAATAAATAAATATGTTTATTTAGAAATCTATACTAATATTATAAAGCTGAAGAGTTTGTTTGTTTGTTTGTTTGAACGCGCTAATCTCAGGAACTACTGGTCCGATTTGAAAAATTCTTTCAGTATTAGATAGCCCATTTATCGAGGAAGGCTATAGGTTATATATCATCACGCTAAGAGCAATAGGAGCGGAACACCAATGAATAATGTTTCAAAAACGGAGAAAATTTATTACTATTGAGAGACGCAGACGAAGTTGCGCGGGTCAGCTAGTATAAAATATGTCCCCGATTGACGGCAATAGTATTGTCCCGATATACGAAAGTTGCACTAAAGTTACAGTCGGCAGAAAACGGAACATTTAATACGTCGCTAACTATTAGCCGAAGACGTGACTAGGAATGTATGCCGTGAGTCTTTTACAATAGACGTCGTTTTGCCCACAGGTGGTTTCCATATTGACGTAACGGCGTTTTCAGCTACTATTTTAGAAACCCCATAATAACAATGACTGTAACCTAGGCTGCGGTATTTCCGGACCGATACGACCTTCAAACCTTCAAGAAAGGAGCGTACTCTTTCAAAAAAGGCCGGCAACACATTTGTGACTCCTGAGTTGCAGACGTTCATGGGCGGCAATGGTCACTATATATCAGGTCGTCTACTCGTCTGCCCCCACTTACATTAAAAAGACCTAGTGTAAAAAGTCTGTTGTACTGAAAAGTTTAAAAGTTAATATACCAAAAGTATCCATATTTATAACGACCGGATGGCGTAGTGGTTTGTGTAACGGACTGCTATTCCAAAAGTCGCGGGTTCGATTCCCGCTCAAGTCAAACATTTGTGTGCATGAACATTTGATGTTTGATTTGGTCTGGGTGTTTCTATGTATAATATGTATGTATTTACAAAAAAAAAAGTATATTTGTATTTATATCAGTTGTCTAGTACCCATAGTACAAGCTCTGCTTAGTTTGGGACTAGATGGCGTTGTGTGTATGTGGTAGAAAGAATATTATATATTAGCGTTCCTTAGTGTATATCCATAGTATAATAATTGCAAAGAGAACTTGAACTTGACACAATACAGTTTATACCAACTCATTTGGCCAGCGTGGTATAGTAGGCCAATACCTTACTTACAGCAGAGGTTTTAAATGTTGGTGATTAAATCATATAAAAGTAAGTTTATGAGCAGTCTAATTCTATTACCGTAGTACCGGCTTTGTCTAGTAAGGGATCAGAAGTGTCTGAGGTGTTCCAAGTCAATAATATTAGATAGGGTTAGTAAATAAAGCCAAGAATTCAAAACTTATGAAAAATTAATGCTGTCAAGAAAAATATATGTTCTTTATAGCTTTTGCTTGCTTCACAGCCATCAATGATGATTTTCATAACCAATTAGAGTGTATCAAATAGATTTTAGAAGTGCATAATCTAATTAAAGTGTAAAATTAGAGTTGTACCAAATCGAATTATAAAATAAATATTATTATGTACATAAATTTAGTATATATTTAAAATTCTTCACTCACATTTTAAACGCCTTCGGTTCACAATGAAGACGATTATTGTGTTTTGTTTTTGGTTTCTTGAGAGTTATAACTGTGGATCTATACGGTACATTCGTAGCTTTAAAAATTTGGCTGAAATGTCGAAAGAACCGTTTTCAATTAACAGCAGACAGCAGGGAAACTTTGACACCCCCTGTCAAACTGGAACAACTAGAGTAGGGAATTATTGCATTGAAAAAGACAGGAGTGCACTTTTTCCTATTGATAGCAGACATCCGGATGCTTTTGACGGCGGCTGTCCCTCCGGAAAAGAAAGAGTAGGCGATATATGCGTTTCAATATGTCCTCCTGGACAGTTTAGAGTAGGAGATAAATGCAAAACACAATTTCTAATTGCAAGCAGATCAAGTTTCATCAGCGAATGTCCCACTGGAAGAGAAAGAGTAGAAGATATATGCGTTCCAGTATGTCCCCCTGGTACAACTAGAGTAGGGAAACATTGCATTGAAATAGACAGAAGTGCACTTTTTCCCATTGAAAGCAGACATCCGGATGCTTTTGACGGCGGCTGTCCCTCCGGAAAAGAAAGAGTAGGCGATATATGCGTTCCAATATGTCCTCCTGGACAGTTTAGAGTAGGAGATAAATGCAAAACACAATTTCTAATTGCCAGCAGATCGATTTTCGTCAGCGAATGTCCCACTGGAAGAGAAAGAGTAGAAGATATATGCGTTCCAAAATGTCCCCCTGGACAGAGCAGAGCTGATGATGGAACATGTTTAGATGAGGAATAAAAAAATACCATGAATGATTTCAAATTCTAATATTTTAATTATAAACGTTTCAAATACTATGTTTAAAAAATTAGTGGTAATATATCTTCTATGTATAAATCCGTTTTAGATAGTCACTGCTTCACATCTGCTCTATTAACATTCGATCTTATCCAAAAACCATAAGAAAAGGCATTTTATTATTTTTCGCTTTCATGACTAAAAGTAATGTAGCAATGTAATAAATAAAAATGTATATGCCAACAGTTTAATTGTTTTTTCTTAAAAGATATTGTTAAACAAAAAAACAAATTACAGGTATATTGGAATTGTAATGAGTGAGTATAATAAGTTCCTTTTGATGATATTTGTTGTGACCTATTAATCAATAATATAAAGTGAAATAAATAGATCCCATGGAGAGGAAGAAACCCCAAAAAAGTTAAACAAAATAGTGTCACTTTTGTTTAACTTTTTTCATTATTGTATAAGTTTAAATAGTGTATCTGCCGTGTAGTGACGGATTAAGAATACGGTGTGTCACCACCCCTATTTATCCAGTAGGTGTCGTTAGAGCCAAATCATAAAGAAGCAAACTCTGCAGGATAACAGCACTGCAAAAGAAAGGGAAACTTGAAACAAAAACTATACCGAACCGTCGGCCAGCGTGGTATAGTAAGCCAAAATCTCCTTTGTAAGGAGAGGCGTATGGCAAGCAGTGGACTATTAGAGGCTGTTGATGATAATGATGATGTTAAAAATAAGTGTAACTACGATTTGAAATATTGTTATAAAATAACAGAACGGTCTGACAAAATTACTACTATATTTGCTATTAGTTTAATAATAGTAGACCGAAGTATAACCAACTTTAACAAATGCCTAACATTCTCGACTTATATATCATCGACGTCTCCTGTCCTAGACCTTTATTTATTACTCTAAGATTAATGAATGCGTTCTAGAAATGAGGAGTTTACTATTTCTTGAACACTACGAACGGACACCATTTCAACAACATTGACTTCTTTACGCCGAGTACAATTTGCTATTCATCATCATCATCAACAGCCTTTAACAGTCCACTGCTGGACATAGGCCTCTCCTTAGAAAGGAGGTTTTGGCCTACTATACCACGCTGGCCAGACGGGTTTGGAATAGGGTTTGTGTTAAGTTTTCCTTCTCTTTGCAGTGCTGTTGTCCTGCATAGTTTGCTCCCTTAGTCGGCTCTTACGACCCTAAAATGTCAAACAACAGTCTTTCTAGTTCTGTAGAAAGACTATTGTTAGACATTTTAGGGTTTCAACTACCCGTAATGATTGACACAAGTTATTTATTTATTTATTTGTTACATGGATCTTCAACAACAATATCAGATAGAAATTACTGATTTGGTGTATCCTTATTTACAGAAGATCACAGCCTGCATTAAAAGTCAAACACAACATTAGAAATCAGAAATTATATCACACAAGTTTTAAATAAATAATTCAAATCAAATTAAAAACACTGCCAATAACATTGCAAAAGTTAAATATTGATAATATAGTCAATAATTAAATAGTCAACATTATAATATAATATACAGTTACATTGATTAATTATTATCTTATATATAAAATTCTCGTGTTACAATGTTCGTTCCCGTACTCCTCCGAAACGGCTTGACCGATTCTCATGAAATTTTGTGTGCACATCGGGTAGGTCTGAGAATCGGCCAACATCTATTTTTCAAACCCCTAATGGTAAGGGTGACCATCCCTAATTTTATTTTGTTTTGCAATACAACGTTTGCCGGGTCAGCTAGTTTATATATATAATTTAAATAAAATAAATTTACATTAAATTGTTGTAAGCTGTTTATTGATAAGGAATTAAAAAATTTTAATTGTTTTACCGAAGATGTCCATGTCATTAGATGCATTTGAAAACTCATTAAAGTTGTTAGTCCTAATTATTGGCGAGTGTTTACCAAGATTTGTGCGACCGCGGGGAGCCTTGAGCAGAGCAATCTGCTAGGTACATCAATATAGAATTTACTCATGAGACTCGGACAGTAAATTATATTTTTGAATAAGTTGTGTATGAACTTTGCGGCGGGCCCAAGGGATGTGAGCTTACTGTCTGCCAGTATATGACCTTTTTGAGTTAAAAACTATCTCTTCAATTCTTGCTTTGTGGACCTGGTATGTCGGGTTCCATACATCACATCAACATCATCAACAGCCTATAACAGTCCACTGCTGGACATAGGCCTCTCCTTAGAAAGGAGGTTTTGGCCTACTATACCACGCTGGTCAGACTGGTTGGTATAGGGTTTGTTTCAAGTTTTCCTTCTCTTTGCAGTGCTGTTGTCCTGCGTAGTTTGGTCCCTTAGTCGGCTCTTACGACACCCACGGGATGAATAGGGGTGGTGACATTCCATCACACTACAATATCAAGGCTGCTTCGCACAAAACTGTTATACAAAAGTATTGTTGTGGCTGGGTTCTTTATAATTTTGAGAACAAATCCAAGAGCTTTATAACCACTAGTTAAAGTCTTATTGTTATGTCCTGCGAACCGCAGAACTTCGAAATATACGCCCAGATCCTGAGAAGAACATCGACCTCGTTCAGAACTTTAATATCTATTTGGTAAAATGAATTTTAGGGGGTCCGTACCTCAAGAGGTTAAAAAGGAACCCTTATAAGATCATTTTCTTGTCCGTCTGTCCGTGTGTCACCACCGATTTTCTCAGGAACGGGTAGACCTAGCAAAAAGAAACGTCTTACAGCACCAATAAAGGAATAATTCCAAAAAATAAAAAACAAATTAAAATTAAAATAAATTTTGGTACTTACAAATTTTCGCGAAAATCTACGTAAAATCTGGGTAGGTACCGAACCCTCGGCGCACGAGTTCGACTCGTACCTGACCGGTTTTATGTTATTACGTTTTCTACTAAATGTTATATGATCGCTTTTTGATCCATTTAAGTAGATTTTATTTTGATCGCACCACTGATGTCTATGTCTTCTTGTGATAAAGATACATCGCTTTTGCTTTTGATTATTCGAATTATTTTCAAATCGTCTACGAGAAAATATGGTACCGAATTATTAATACAGATGTTATTTGATTTATAAAAACATAAAAGAACAATGGCCCCAAATTGGAGCCTTGGGGTACGCCAGATGTTGCAATAAATGGCTCAGACTCTTTCTCATCTGCAACTACTGATGATGGCCTAGACCCCAAATACGATTGACACCAATCCAGACTACCGCCAGCAATACCCAACAATTGCAATTTACCTACCAGTATTTTATGATGATGTCCGTATGGCAACCGCAACCGACGGTATAACGTGTTCTTCTAGGCACAGAGGGGTCTCAATATGTAAAGAATGGTCACACATCCATAGACTGACCTGGTCAGGTTTACGTAACTTTGCAATGTGTTACCACCCTATGGGGTTACCACCACGAGCGCCACGAGCAAAATCTCACTTCTATTTTACATACCTTTTTTGTAATTTGTAATGAAACAGCAGCAGGAACGCTGCCAGCAGGAATCCACAACAATATCATAATATTAAATTAAAATATTTTTCACATTAACATTTGCATCCATCCAAATTTTCGTCTTTTTTCGTTTTGTTCCTAGATTTTAGTCCTTTGAGTCCTCTCTCCAGAATCAGACAGCTGCTATAACCCGACTCACACCCTACCCACCTACCAAAGCACCGAAAAAGTTACTTAACACAGGTTTTCTGTAAGGCCGTGGTATCACTCCAGTCAAGCCAACCCACTTGTGCCCAACTTTTAACATTTAAACATACCTCATCCTGGATATTGTCTCCACAAAAAACAACTAAATCTGTTAAGTTCTTCACAATTCCCGTCACAAGAATTTTTATTTATAACTTAGGAGTGTGTTTAAAAAAATATACTATTTTTTTAAATGAAGCAGTTGCGTAGACTATTGTGTGTGCCTTACTAATAATATGCATACCACAGCTTATTGTCTTCATTATTTGCTCATCAAAGTAATTCTACACATAATACGACGAATATTATCAAATATCAACTAATACCGCCATTGTATGTTGCCTATATATTTACATGTATGACGATCCTATTGTAACAATACTTAGGTTTTCAATATAAACTTTTCATCAGTCCATTGTTAACTCAGTTCCATTACTGACAGTCACAAACGCAGGTGTGTTATAAAATAAACATGTTGATCCTAGCTGTTGTATATTGCGTTATAAGTGTAGAAAGTACAAAGCTAACTGCTATACCGAATGGTGAAAATGATGTTAAAAAATCTATAACCGATGATAAATATATTGACACTACAACGACAGAAGTTATTGATTTCTTAGAAACAGTCATTGGAATGATTGCTGGTAACTATGATAAATCAATGAAGTCTAAAAAGACTTATAAATGTTGCTGTTCAAATAACACAAACCAGAATATTGAAAAAGTTGGTAATTCAAATGAAACAAAAGCAGAAGGTTTAGAAGTCAATATAAAAGCTAATAGTTTTAATGTTACTGAAAACAATACATTAACAACGGAAGATAATAACGTCAAAACTGACTCTTCTACGTATGCAACTACTACCTTCACTATAACTGAAATTAATGACAATGAGAACAAATCAGTTACCACGCATGAAAAGGAAACTACGAAAAATGAGGTCAATGGCAACGAAGACTTACTACCTAATCTCAATAAGGCAAAGGAATAAGCGAAATTTACAAGTGATTATTACTTTTTCATGACGTGTTATTGACATGTTTGTATTAGTATAAAATTTCACGTAATTATTTAACTCAAAATGTCAAGCAAAAGACGAGTTGTTTAGAGGATATGAGAATTAGAAAATTGAAGTAACAGATATACTGTTTCAAAGAAGTCCATATTAGTGTAATTATAATAGTATAAATTTATAAATTAAACTTTTATGTGGTTATTAAATACAAATTTCTATTAAGTATTTTTTTTTTATAATCTATAAAACCATAATTGTTCCAAGAACAAAGAGCATGGAAGAGCCATACTTTGGCACAAATGAACCGATGAACTCCACCGGCTCGATAGCCTCACAGAAAACCAGTGTTCACCCATGTTTTCGTTACTTTTCACCGAGCGAGTGAGGTTAACAGAGCACCATCCCTCTCTCTCTAATTCTGGATAGGCACTCAAAGGGTCTTCAACGTATTTTATATTTTTAATAATGGTAATGTCTGTTAGTTGCAGGTGTCCATATATTAACATCAACTAATTTCAATCCGGCGATAAAAAATAAACATCAACTAGTTTGTTCCTTATTACGTCTTATAAATTTCATTACTATTTAAATAGTCTTGTTTATAATTTCATAAATATATCCGGACCATGGTTAGTATAAATTCCATCAACAAAATTTGTAAATCCGCATTTATGTATATTCTTTTACGAGTATTTGATCTTAAATAATAATCACAATTTTCCGAAACACGTTTTATCAAATCCAATAATATCCGTATGTGTTTCAAAATTTTCTATACTACTGAAAATATTATCAATGCGTTTTACGGTACGAAGTCTTGCAATATCAAAATTTCATATTTCATAAGTTGGATTTATGAAATAACGTGCTGGTCGTAAACAAGACTGAGAGAGGACCTTCTCATGCTACGATTTTATGGAAGATAAGGATATTTGGGAAGTGATCACGGTCTGGTTAGTATTTTAGTTCACAAATGCATACACCAGATGGTTTATTTTTAGCTTATTTTCCGTCCCGAATTCAATATCGCCATATTGAAATACACACAGGATTGCACGGTTTCCGCGAATGTTTACGTGCTAAATGTTTATAGAAGTTAATATAAACTGAAATCACTAATGGCGTATTGGACGTTACTACTGCTAAATCTACCGGCATTTTCTTTTTGATGTGTAACACCTAATGCGGTTGCGATCCATGAGGGGAATTAGCCATAGTCACCACGCTTGGCAGGCGGTTTGGTGACCGCGGTGGCTAGAATCATTTATCTGGTGACCCCTGCTGCAGGATGGACCGACGACTCGAAGTAAATGACTGGCAGCGGATGGATACGAATTGCTCTAGACCACGATAGTTAGCGCTCCTTGAGAGGCCTTCGTTCAGCAGTGGACGGCGTTAGGCTGATGATGACCTAATACGGAGTTAGATTGGCTGTTGGCGTGGCGACGCATCGCCACGCTCTATGTTAATACAAAATAATTTTAATGTTTTCCATCTGCCTTACATCCCGTGATGGCTCAATTTTCTATTTATTTTTTAAACTAATGAATGTGATATTAATATTCTTAGACATATTCAATGTCACTAACGTGGAATAAAATAAACTGGAGTGGAGTCTATACAATGAGCTTTAAAACATGGATGTTAGAATACATTTTTCATAAACACATGTTGTACATAGAAACACCAAAACTAGAGCAAATAAACAAATATTGTAGACAAATATTTGAACTGAGCGGGAATCGAACCTACGATCTGCAACATGGTTGTCGCGTATTCGATACTGGAATAGCAACCAAAACAAACATAGTCACAGATTATATGTAGGTACAAAAGATTCACTTAGCAAAACTATTTAAATAAAAAGCAACTCTTATTGTGACTCTTACTCACGCAAAATACAATTTAGGAAATCATCATCGTCAACAGCCTTTAATAGTCCACTGCTGGACATGGGCCTCTCCTGAGAAAGGAGGTTTAGGCCTACTATACAACGCTGGCCAGACGGGTTGATATAGGGTTTGTGTCAAGTTTTTGACGTGACAACGTCTTATAATTCGATGGAGCCGGCTGCACGCACGAAAAAACATGACTCATGCGGCGTTACCTCGCTCTGAGGCGTTCCATTTGAGGCGTGAAGTGCAAGCGAGAGCGCGGAACGAGCGACAAAGAGGCACAATCGGCCTCCGCGTTCGGCAGCGTTCGATATCTGTCTCTCTCCTACTTGAGTGAGCGATGCGTCCGCGTGGACAGCTGCTACCCGTATGTATACAATAATACATTTTTGAAAAATGCAACCATTCCATCAGTATTTTCTTATGACGTTGTCACGTTCAACTATCGTCAGTAAACCGACTTTACAGACAACCGATTTTTCATCTCTTCATTAATAATCATAAAATATAAATTGTGATTGCAAAATTCTTATCTCTCTGGCAACAGAATTTATAGCAATGGTTCGTAATTACAGATATTAATACTTCCAAAACCCTTCATGAATGGTCAAGGTTAATCTGTACTTGTAACAAAACTGTTACAGGTTGAATTCCGTACGTTGAAGAAGGTAGTTTTCTGGAGGCCGCTCTACTATCGATGTTTAAGTTAAAATTGTATTATTTTTAAATGTGTTTTTCTCTATCTTGGATTAAAATGAAACTTTGCATGATATTCATATATACGACGAAGTATTATGTGGGATACTTGGCTTACTTTTACTTACTTTTTTACTTTTAACTACTTGGCCATGAGTTTGTTTGGCCTTTCTTCTCATAAGGATCAATCCCTTGGAATCGGGCGGTTGTAGATCGGCACAGGCATATCATGGATTTTGTATAGTAATTTTTTGTGTAGTATTTTTTTTATTTAATGCATTTGCCAAATGTAGAAAAAGATAAACAGTATTTTTATAATCAAATTAGGTAGTTTAATTCGTATATTGAGCATTTTGCATTCATTAGTTAAATAGGGACTAAGGGCGCAAAACAACGCAGGACACCAGCACTGCAAAAAGAAGGTAAACTTGACACAAACCCTATACCAACCCGTCTGGCCAGCGTGGTACAGTAGGCTAAAGCCTCCTTTCTAAGGAAAGGCCTATGTCCAGCAGTGGACTATTAAAGGCTGTTGATGTTGATGTGATGATGAGTTAAATAGGGAAGAGGATAGATAAAAATGGAAACGTTTAGGAAAGAAAAGCAGCAACATAATATTTAGTATATTATAATAATATTTTCTAACATCTAACACACAACGCCATCTAGTTTCAAACTAAGCAGAGCTTGTACTATGAAAGCCAAATTGACGGATAGAATACTTCTATACTTTTTTTGTAAACACATACATATAGAAAACATCCAAACTCCGAAACAAATATTCGCAGATCATACAAACATTTGGTCCAACTCGGGAATCGAAGCCGAGACCTCAGCACAGCAGTCGCACACGCTACCACTGCACCACCGTGGCAATAAAGGTTACGAGCCCAAAGGTCACACGTGTAAACAATGTAGCTAATATTATTTAGTTCAGCTGCTATGTGTTGGTTTAGAAAACCAATAATGATAATTTATTATCAGTCCTACATTTACGGTTAATGATGAACTCTCATATCAATTGGTTACCAGCACGACACCTACACAACCCGTGCGATACGATATCAGACAAAGGTGACAAAGACAATGACTGCACGGATGGCGTAGTGGTTTAAGCGGTCGCCACGCCGCTCACTACTACGCTGAGTGTTGTGGGTCCGATCCCTACATGGGACGACACTTTGTGTGATCCACAAATTGTTGTTCTGAGTCTGGGTGTTCTTTGTGTCCGTTTCATGTATGTTTGTAAAGTCCCCCGCGACACAGGATATATTCCTAATGCGGGAGTTGTCTTTAAAAAAAGAAATAGAATAGAAAAATGTGCCTACAATGAGGGTTTACTGAAATATTCCACGTGAGATGGCAGCACTGTAGCGTCAGGTCCAACCACCTGTCAAAACACATACACGATTTGTATTTTTCGATCTTTTTTTTTGTTTATTCATTCTTAAAAACGTTATAAAAGGAATATTGTTTTGTAAAATGCCACAGTGTTGTGCAGTGACTATGTGTGCAAATAAAACTTTTGCGCCTCTCTTTTTGAGATCAATCTTCTGTTCGGCAACCTTTCTCTGGCCGTAATCTGTAATAAACTCAATATCACTTCCAAATTCATAGAATTTCACTAAAAAAAATATACGTTCGGTAAGAATCTGTGCTATCTGACAGCTGTTTGGACCTGACGCATACGAAGCGCCGTCTGGTGGCAGAAATAATATCGAAAACCCTCATTAGTTAATTTTAGTATTTCAAATAGTACCCTTATTAAACGAACAAAGAACATAAACTTCTTCTCTCGTTCATTCTTTTTTTTGTTTTTGTTTCAAAAAAGAATACTCCCGAACCATGCATCAAGCCCCTATGTCATGTCCATAAAAATATACAATAAATTATCCAATAATATAATTATAATTGTTTCTTTCTACATTTATAAGACCTGTGTATACATACAGTAAACGGACACAAAGAACACCCAGACTCAGAACAACAATTTGTGGATCCCACAAAGTGTTTTCCCACGTGGGGATGACCCTCAACACTCGACGCACAAGGAAGCGGCAGGGTGACCGCTTAACCCAATACTCCATCCGTGCAATCGTTCTTCCTTTCCTGTTCTGTCTAGCTTTGGAATGTACACTGTTGGAGAATCATGCTTTAGCAGAAATGGGCCGGTTTAACTCTAATGACACTACACTCACAGAAAACTGGTGTTGAACAATTCTTTTTTTACTTTTCAGAGTTAGTAAAGTTACCCGAGGCCCAACCCCGAGCTCCTGATTCTTGGGGCTCAAAATGTGCCAACGCAATCTGACTGATTTACCATCAGAAGATTGGTCTGCCAGTTTACCCCACGTCATAAAAAATACACCCTCCTGAAATAAGGAA